GAACGCCAGTGAGGGGACCGAAACGCCCCGCCCCTCCCCACTCACCCCCCATCCCCCCACAAACCCAAATCCTCCACAACCCAGCCACCCTCCCCCTTATCCCCTCGCGGGAGAAGGTGGCCGACGCAGTCGGCCGGATGAGGGGCCAACTCAATCCGCCGCGCAGCGGCGCTCCTCATAACAACCGCGAGCGGAAGCGAGCCGGACCAAAGGTCCCTCACCCATCAGCCCAGCCCCAACACCCCCCAACAACCCAACTCAACCCGCCGCAAAGCGGCGCTCCATCAAACCCCTCCCAGAGGGAGGGGCAGGGGTGGGTTCAAGCAAGCGACCAAGGTCGCGCAGCGCCCAACTCAACCCGCCGCGAAGCGGCGCTCCTCCCCCAGTGCCCAGTGCCTAGTGCCCAGTGCCTTCCCCACCCAACACCAACCCATCAAACGCCAACCCCACCCCCTCCGGCAACCGCTCACTAATCTCCGCGTGCTTCATCTCATGACCAATATGAATGAACCACGCCCGCTCCGGCCCGATCCGCGCCGCCGCGCTCAGCGCCTGATCCAGGTTGAAGTGCGTCGGGTGGTGCCGCTCCCGCAGCGCATCCAGCACGAGCGTCTTCACCCCCTCCAGCTCGGGCCACGTCTCCGTCGGGATCGCGCTCACGTCCGTCCCGTACGCCAGCGGGAAGTTCGGGTCATCAACCCCGTCCGCCCGATCGAACCGAAACCCCAAAATCGGCAACCGCCCGTGCAAAAACCGCAACGGCGTCACCCGCAACCCGAACAGCTCGAACGACCGCTCCGGCCGCATCTCATGCGCGATCAGCGTCGCCACGAACGAATCGTTCACGTTCGCCGCCTTGTCGAACACGTGCTTGTACACCCGCTTCAGCGAATCGAGCACGTAGTCCTCCGCGTAGATGTCGATCGGCGCGCGCATCACCGCGTTGAACCGTCGCACCTCGTCCAGCCCGAAGATGTGATCGACGTGGTTGTGCGTGTACAGGATCGCGTCGCACCGCTCGAACCCCTCCCGCAGCGCCTGCTGCCGAAGATCCGGCGTCGTGTCGATCAGCACCACCCGCTCCTGGCCCCTCGCGTCCGTCCACGCCAGCGCCGCCCCCGTCCGCAACCGCTTGTCCTTCGGGTCGTCCGACATGCACGTCTTGCAGTCGCACGCGATCACCGGAACCCCCGCGCTCGTCCCCGTCCCGAGGAAAATGAACCGGAGGTCTCTCACGCCCCACCCTTGCGCGCCACAACAAAGATCACCCACTCGTCACCCAACTCATCATCTTCCCCCACCGCCTCCGGCATCGGCGCCCCGTCCTCGTCCACCGCCCCGCCGTACCCCGCGTGGAACTCCACCCGCGAGAACCCCGCCTCCCGGAACGCGTCCGCAAGCTCCGCCGGCGACCACAACCGCCAGTCGTACACGAACGCCCGCTCCAGCTTCTCACCGCCCGGCAGCGTGAAGTCGATCTCGTTCCGCACCCGCCCCGTCAGCGGGCTCGCCGCCACCTGCTTCCACTCGTACACCACGTCCCCCGCACCCGTCTCGAACACCACCTCCGCGACCCCCGTCGCGAACGCGTGCTCGCCGCCGTACAGGTCCGCCACGTACACCCCGCCCTCCGTCAGCCGCGAGTGCGCGTGCCCCAGGTACTCCACAAGCCCCGCCCGATCCGTCAGCTCGCACAACGCGAAGTTCATCGCGACCAGCGCCCGCACCGGCGACGCCTCCTCCCGAACATCCCGCACGCAGAACGACAGCCGCTCCCGCTCCGCCTCGCCGAGGTCCTCCCCCGCCCGCACCCGCGCGTGCGCGATCGGCTCCGGGTCCGCGTCCGTCGCGATCGCGTGACGAGAGCCGCCCAGCGCCACGTACTCCCGCGCGATCGACGCCGGCCCGCAGAATTCCTCCCCGATCGTCGCCGGCTTCCCGCCAAGCAGCGCATCCACGAACCGCGCACTCATCTCCGGCGACTGCACGCACAGCTCGTACAGGTCGTACTTGTTCAGAGCCCGCTCGCCCACGGCCCTCAGCCCCCCGCCGACGCGCTGCCGATCAACGCCCGCCACCCCTCGAGGTTCGCCCCGAGCACCGCCTTCGGCCCCGTCGCCTTCAGGAACACCAGGCCCCCGGGGCCCCCCTCGACCACCGCGCCCAGCAGCGTCGTCCCCGCCTGCGGGCCCGTCCCGCCCGCCATCATCCCCGCGTCGTACGTCCCCGTCACCACCACCGTGTGCACCGTCAGACCCCCCACCTCACGCGATTCGCGCACCGCCGGCGACTCCGGATCGCGCACCTGCCCAATCCAGCGGTTGATGTTCTGGTCCACCGTCCCCATGATCCCCGCGAACACCGCCAGCACGCCCGCCTCGCCACCCGACTCGCCCGCCGGGATCACCAGTTCCGCCGCCCGCATCGAGCTGCTCGGCATCCGAGCCGTCCAGCCCTCCGGGATCTCGAACGACACGCCGCCCGCCCGGAAAGAATCCATCCCCGCGAGCGACTCGCCCGCGTCAGACTCCGCCTGCACGCGCGCCGCCTGCGCCCGCTCCGCCGCGCGTCGCTGCGCCTCCGGGTCGCTCCCCGGCAGCGTCCCCTGCGGCTCCACATCGAACGGCGACGGCAGGTCCCCGCCCGCCGAAGCCGACTCGCTCGCCGCCGGCTCACCCGATTCGCCGCACCCCGAAAGCGCGAGAACAGCAACAAGAGACGTGCACACGAGGGCGCGAGGGGTGATCATGCGGGAGATCCTTTCGCGGAGAGTCACAAGTGAACGGCCGACCGACAACCATACGCATCGACGACCTGGACGACCCGCGCGTCGCACCCTATCGCAACGTGCGGGACGCCGATCTTATCCGCGATCGCGGCTCCTTCATGGCCGAGGGCCGATTCGTCCTCGCCGCCCTCACCAGATCCACCCGTTTCCCCATCAAAAGCGTCCTCCTCAACGACGCCGCCCACGACCAGATCGCCGACACCCTCGACGCGCTCCCGGGCGAAACCCCCGTCTACGTCGCCTCCCAGACCGTCATGGACGCCATCGTCGGCTTCCACATCCACCGCGGCTGCCTCGCCGAGGGCGACCGAGGAACCCCCCTCACCCCCGCCCGCGTCCTCGAACTCGCCGGCGCCAAGCCCGTCCTCCTCCTCGAGGACCTCACCAACCACGACAACGTCGGCGGCATCTTCCGCTCCGCCCTCGCCCTCGGCGCCGGAGGCGTCCTCCTCACCACAAGAACCGCCGACCCCCTCTACCGCAAAGCCATCCGCGTCTCCATGGGCGCCGCCCTCCAGCTCCCCTTCTCCGCCGCCCCCCTCGAACACCTCCTCGCCGCCCTCCGCGCCGACGAGCGCACCCTCATCGCCACCGCACTCACCGACACCGCCATCGACCTCCGCGACCTCCACACCCACAGCGCCGTGCGCACAAACCACAAACAAGCACTCCTCCTCGGAACCGAAGGCCACGGCCTCACCGACAAAGCGCGCAACGCCGCGCACATCACCACAAAGATCAACATCGACCCCGACGCCGACTCCCTCAACGTCACCTCCGCCGCCGCCATCGCCCTCTACGAACTCACACGCTAGAAACCCCTCCCGGAGGGAGGGGCAGGGGAGGGTTCAAGCAAGCGACCAACGGTCGCGCAGCGCCCAGTTCAACCGCCGCGAAGCGGCGCACTTCCCCCATTGCCCATTGCCCATTCCCCATTGCCCCCTTCCACCTCTGCCGCCCCCTGTTACCCTTCTGACCATGACCACCCCACCGCCCAACGAAGACCAACTCGCCCTCTTCGCCGTCAAGGACATCGAGTCCGGCATGACCGTCGGCCTCGGCACCGGCAAGGCCGCGAGCCGCGCCGTCCGCGCCCTCGCACACCGTGTCAAGGAAGAAAATCTCGACGTCACCTGCGTCTCCACCAGCACCGCCACCACCGAGCTCGCCCGCTCCCTGGGCCTCACCGTCGCCAACCTCGAAGACGCCGGCCCCATCGACCTCCTCTTCGACGGCGCCGACGAGGTCGACGTCAACCTCGTCATGCTCAAAGGACGGGGCGGCGCCATGACCCGCGAGAAAATCGTCGCCCACGCCGCAGAGCGCCGCATCTACCTCGTCCAGAAAGCCAAGCTCGTCGAGCGCATCGGCGACACCGGCCCCCTCCCCGTCGAGGTCCTCCCCTACGCCAGCGGCGCCGTCATCGACGCCCTCGCCGACTACGGCCTCGACGCCGAGCTCCGCCTCGCCGAAGACGGATCCCCCGTCCGCACCGACAACAACGGCCTCATCGTCCTCGTCGAGATCCCCGAGGGCATGACCGACTCCGTCGATTCCCTCCACGAGTTCTCCCTCGGCGTCAAGCACATCCCCGGCGTCGTCGAGCACGGCCTCTTCGTCGAAGAAGCCGACGCCGTCCTCGTCGAAGGCGACACCCCCGACGAGCTCGAGCTCTACGTCCGCGAAGACGCCGACGGCTTCACCGAAGCCGCCGAGGAAGACGACGAGGAAGAGTGATCCCACCTCTCCCCCGCCCTGCGGTGGGAGAGGTCGATCGGCGTGCGCCAGCCGCCGATCG